CATCTGGCCCACGGAATAAAATAATATTCCTAAACCCCAGCAAGTTCTGAATTATTAAAATGTACACTATTTGAAAAGAGTTAGAGTTCCCTGACCTCGTAAGTCTGGGGAATCTCACGGACATGAGGCTTATGTTAATGCAATTTAATCGAGACTACTGATTACAATTTGGAACTTATTGGTTATGAGCCTGTTGAACTGTTTTAAATTTATCTGTATTTAATCTAGACTTCATACAGGCACACAGTTTTACTTTAGTAGAGCAACAGTCAATGTAATCATAAAAAGCAACAATCAGGTGACAATAGTGACCTGCTCCTAACCTCTAGTGGCCTTATGTCACACGGAGACTGTAATGAAACAATTCAGCCAGACTCGAAGATGCTTGTACTGGTTCCCTGCCTTTCACTGGGTTCCGGGCTGTCTTTTGCGTGCTCAGAGGGAGCAGGCTTGCATTTGCTGATCCTTCTGCTAGACCAGTTCCCTACTGTTTGTTACTTGCAGTGCCAATGCTGCTGCCTTTCTTTCACTACATAAAATTTGTTTGTCCTACCAATCTCCCCCACACAACCCCGCAAACACACATCCTTAGGGAATATGCTTGAAAGTAAGGAGTATGTGTTTCTTGTTCACTATTAGCACTGTCATCCTGTTGTTCATCGATTTGCTCTAGCGAGCACCGGTAACGTCTCCATTGTGAGACTTGTTGTTACTGTTTTTGGCATGTTGTATATGCCACAGATAGCTTTCCAGGCTCTGCTGTGTGGGCGAGATATTCTCGGCAGCTTGCTGGGCTCTCCGAGAGGATGGAGGAATCGAACCCAGGTCAGCCGCATTCAAGGCAAATGCCCGACCTGCTGTGCTATTGCTCCCGACCTGCTGTGCTATTGCTCCAGTTTCAATAATATTGAAATTATTCTGGAATTATGTTCAATAAATGAGGAAATGGGAATGCATTTTAAAAATCTGAAAAATTATGACATGATTATTTTTTCAAAAAATACTGGGAAATTGTTCCATTCAATAACAATTATACATAATTATGAACATGCTTTAGTAGTTTTGAATTCAGTACAAAATGTTCCCTTGCCCTTTGATATTTTACAAATCTGTACCTTATGCTCACATTAAAATTAATCTGTGAGACATTATTTAACTCGCCTTGTCTAATGTTTCAGCATTATGGGCCGGAAAGATATTACTGGGTTTCAGATGCATGCCTTGTGTGTGAACTACCCCAGTTCAATCCATTGTTCAAGCAACAATGCAACCTTGCACCTCTTTTGCAGTGAACCAAGGAACTGACCAAGAATAGCTGGAAGGGTTCCTGGGCCTCCTGGGCACTGTATAGGAGATGATAAAATAAAATAAATCCAGGAAAAGTTTTAGCATAAATTCAGTCTAGGGCTTCTGCAAATATTGATCATGTGACCTTGAATAATTCATGCTTAATATATCAGTAAAGTCTCAACAAATTGTGAGACTTGTTGTTACTGTGTTTGGCATATCAAATACATCGCTAATATCTTGGCTGGAGCGATAGCTCAGCAGTAGGGTGTTTGCCTTACAAGCGGCCAACATGGCCGACCCCAGTTCGATTCCTCCGCCCCTCTCGGAGAGCCCGGCAAGCTACCGAGAGTATCTCGCCTGCACGGCAGAGCCTGGCAAGCTCTCCGTGAGTATTTGATATGCCAGACACAGTAACAACAAAGTCTCCAATGGAGATGTTACTGGGCCCGCTCGAACAAATCGATGAACAACGGGAGGACCGTGACTGTGAATATATCAGTATTGATGTCTCAATTTTCTTATTTGTAAATACAAATAATATGACTCATTTAATAAGTTTATGAGGAGGATATTCACTATATATGTATGCAGTAACTCTTAGAATAGTGTTAAGAACTATTGCATGATGTTATTAGTAATGTTGTTATATTATTTGATTGCAGAGAACTATCCTTCATATAGCTACATATTCTACTGAAGATAAAAGAAGCAAATAGAATGTATGAAACAAGTCAAAGAATGAAACCTGTAAAATACACCAGATAGGTTATGATGGTGTAAAAATACAGAATCAAAAATTGTGTTGTTCATTCTTCTCTTGAGAGAAAAAGTACCTAGCAAATGCAGACTAAAGCATCAGTTGACATGGATATTACTGGAAAGCTTCAAAAGTAAAATTGCAGGTTTAAGGCAAAGGAATTTGAATGAGAGAAGTCATATGGAAGTAGATTGCACAGTTAATAGGATATAAGGCAGTGGAAATAACATGTAGAGATAATTGTTTTATTAAAATATTTTTTATTTTTTTTAATTTTTATTAGTGAGACACCATAAAGTATAGTTATAGATTCACAAATTTTTGTGCTTGGGTTTCAGTTATACAATGATCAAGTACCCATCCCTCCACCAGTGCCCGTTTTCCACCACCACAGATCCCAGTATCCCTCCCACCCCCCATCTCCCCATCCCACCCTGCCTCTGTGGCAGGGCATTCCCTTTTGTTCTCTCTCTCCTATTGGGCATTGTGGTTTGCAAAAGAGGCAATGGATGGCAATTATGTTTGGTCTATAGTCCACTTTCAGCATGCTTCTCCCATCCTGGGAGGATCCTCCCAACACCCTTTATTTGGTGCTCCCTTCTCTATCTGAGCCCCCTTTTCCCCTAGCATGTGTGGCTGGCCTCCAAGCCATGGAGCAAAATTCCTGGTACTAATCTCGGCCATTCTTGGGTGTTAGTCTCATATTTTGTTACTCTATGTTCCCCAGATGAGTGCAATCTTTCTATGTCTACCCCTTTCTTTCTGAGTCATTTTGCTTAACATGATACTTTCCATGTAATACCACTTGTACGTAAATTTCATGACTTCATCTTTTCTAACAGCTACATAATACTCCATTGTGTAAATGTACCAAAGTTTCTTTAACCAGTCATCTGTTCTTGGGTACTCAGGTTTTTTCCAGATTCTGGCTATTGTAAAGAGTGCTGCAATGAACAAACAAGTGCATATGTCACAAAAAGTATAGTATACTTTTATAGTATAGTATACTTTTTTGCCTGTAGAGATAATTTTTAAAAATTCATTCATTGAACAAATAAAATTAGAACTCAGTTGTTGGATAGAGAAAGTATGTAAGGGTCAAAGGAGGTTTTACTATTGCATGTGCACTTTTTAACTTTTTAAGTTGGATTAGTTTAATAATGATGAATTAAAAGTAGATGGGTTTTACAATATGCAGTGCTATTGAAGTCCTGAAGACAGAAGTTTTAAAAATGGGCTCCACCTGGGGACACTGGTGCTGGGAAATGTACAGTGGTGTGGGGATGGGTGTTGGAATTACTCTGTGACTGAAACCCAATCATGAACAGCTTTGGAGCGATCGATCTCAGTGATTCAATGAAAAAATAAAACAAAAATAATAATAAATAAACTGCATTCCAGCTTTGTCTATTGAAAATGGCCTTTTAAATTTAACTTAAAATGAAAGTTGATTGAAATGCTAGTGGTTGACTGTGGGCTATTAACAGATTTCTGTTTTCTTGAAGAAATATGAGGCAGTTCATCTGTTGAGAGAGCATGGTAGAAGGGACACAAAATCTTAAAATGAAGGAAGATATGTTTTTTTTAAAAAAAGGCCCTAAGTATTAGAAAGAATGTGCTAATGAGTCAGAGAAATGGTTCCAGACTTGAAAACTGATTTGAAGTTTTTAATCATTCATTTACTAGAATACCAATTTTATCTGTCACATGATTTTTTCCCCTGCTATCTAGCAATTTAAAGGCAGAAAGTGTAAAGACAATTATTTAAAAAAAACTATGTTTAGATCAATTATTAACCTCAATAGAACAACTGTCATGGAGCACAGATGCACCACAAAACACTGAGCATCTCTTGATTTCCAGTGTATCTCTTGTTTAATAGCACAGCGGGTAAGGCGTTTGCCTTGCGTGCGGCCAACACAGGTTCCATTCATCTGTCCCTGTTGGAGGGCCTGGCAAGCTACTGAGAGTATCTCACCCTCACGGCAAAGCCTGGCAAGCTACCCGTGATGTATTCGATATGCCAAACACAGTAACAAGTCTCACAATTTCTTGTGAGACGTTACTGTTGCCTGCTCGAACAAATCGATGAACAACAGGTGGACATTACTACAGTGCTAGTAACTTCAATAGCTATCAGAAAATTCAAAGAAATGCAACATGATGTTCTAGATTATCGCAAAGTCAAAATGATACATTACAACATCTTACATTGGAAAAGCTCTTTGCACTGTATTTGACTTGATCTCTTTAAAAGAAATTGGTGAGTGCAGAGAGACAGGACAGTGAATGAGGTGCTCACCTTACATGTAGCTGCCCCTCCATGAAGCTGAGAAAATTTGATACCGTAGAATAGATGGGGAAAAGAACGTTCATGAAAAATGGTTGACTTTTGTTTACGGCCAGACTAAGAACAACTGTTGCATTTAAAAACAGAACCATTTGTTTGTATTGCTTTCTTTAGGGTTTGTTTATCTTAAACTTGTATTGAAAATAACTATGTTAGAACAGAAAACTTCCCTTAGCTACGTAGGAAACTGCTACTAACAATTTCATAAAATTTATAATTTCTCAAATATCTAGATAAAAACTGAAGAAAGGAAATAGATTTTTTAACATATGACATAGAAAACATGCCATTTGGTCTCACTTCTGTCTTAATGAGCAAAGGATAACTAACTGGACATTTTGATGTCTTTGCTTGACTGAGCTCACAAAGGCAACATGTAATTGTGTCCTACTGTGTGCACTTTGTGAGTATTCGAACCAACTGTCTGTGAATTCTCTGTAATTTATTATGGTATAATTTATTATAGAATATTTACCTATTGCCTCAGAATATGTATACATATGTATAAATATTTACATATACCTTTTCAAAAAGTTAAATTGATATGTACAAATAATTCTCCTTTCTTTTGCTCTATTTCAGTTTCTACATTTCTGAAAAGTCCTGATTTTTTTTCAAGGAACAACTTTTTGCAATAGATTGAAGTTCTGAATTTTTTTTTAAAAAAGCATCCAACATAGCCAATGAATTAAGGACAAGAAGGTTTCCAATCAGGTAGGAACATCAAATGTTATACATTCAACCACCTAGTCTAAATAAATCTGCTGATAGCTGGTTATGATATGATGCTTCCAAAACGGTGGATACATAACCTACCCTGCAAGTTGCTCACAATTCCCTTGAAGGTTGTGGTGTTTGTCGGAGAGAACCTTGGAGGAAAATGAATACAATAACAGTCTAATTTTTTTTTCCATTTTTAGCTCACTGTTGCCAAGCACACTTAATGATTTTGGTGCCTGTGATTGAATCCCAGGGGGTAGGCATGTGAATTGCTAGATTAACCCTTTGGACATTTTTTCCTAAGACTAATCATTTTCTCTGAGGTTGTTCCCAAAATCTCTAGATGCTCATCAAAATTAAAGGCCACTGTGGCAACAAGTCTTCAAAGTGTTGACTAGTCCAAGTTGGTGGATGGTGTGAGGCAATAGTCTTGGTTATTATTTGGGCATAATGCATAATAGTCTTGGCACAATCAAAGTGAATTCATAAATATAAGAAATTTGTGTTTGTTTGCTTGTTTGTTTGTTTTTGCTTTTTGGTTACTACCCAGCGATGCTCAGAGGTTACTCCTGGCTTCGCACTCAAGAATTACTCCTGGCAGTGATTGGGGGACCATATGGGATACCAGGGATTGAACCTGGGTCGGCCACATGCAAGACCCTTTCCGCTATACTATCGCTCTGGCCCCACAAATATAAAGAGTTTGGGGGGGGGAAGGAGGTGAAAGAGGGCCTCTATTTTTATTGACTGATTCATATCAGATACCAACTAACAATTTTATTTTTCTTAACAATTAAAAATTATACAAGGCAAAGGTAGTCATGAAGTCATCCCATTACTTAGCAAGAAGTAAAATATCAGTGACATCAAAATCAGAGTTCTGATTTTAAGTTGCACACTCAATAGTTAGTACAGTACTTGACCTGGTATTCTGTGTGAAGATATATGTAATATCTGGAAAATGTTAATGGTAAAAAAAAACTGTTTTGTGCCTTGCATTTTCTTGTGCATTGTTTTCTATATTCTGACTATATGTGTAGTTCATACACCCAATGTAAGCAGTGATATCTGTGCAAAGAATAAAGGGAGAGAGAGCTTTTTTGCTTCTGAGGTTTCTAATAATTATAAGATCAGCCACAGACTCCGTATTTGCTAAGGATGCTAGCAGAAGCAGCCATCAGAGGAAAGCCTGAATCACAGAACAATAGTGTAATTAACATAGAATTCTTCTAATTTTTTATCCTTTTCATACCATCATTTTCCATGCATAGTACTACATTAGACATATTATTAAATGACTTAAATATGGGTATAAAATTTCCTTGAAAAATTTTTGGGCCTTACCATTTTTGCAAGATAGCACTTTGGAGCTTTGTGTATGTTTGTTTGCTGATTTTTCTCTGTTTGGATTTGATTTTCCTTTCAATGTTGTGCATGCTCAGGGGCCTTTCCCAGGAGCGCTGGCGCCCTGCTGTGCGTGAGCAGACACAGGCATTTACAAACATCTGCTCCTGCTCTTTCAACTGTCTTCCAGGCCCCTGTTTTGGAGGGTTTTCACTTAGAATGACAAAGTTATGCAAAATTTCTGGATATATAGCTCCTAGGGTTGCTAGTTATCCTTTACCTCACCTAGGTAGTACCACCATAGCACCATCACAACTATTTTGCTGTAATCTGCTCTATCTTTTGCTTTCCCGAGGGATAATAGAAGCTATTTCACTAAAGAAAGATGCGTAATTTTTTGAAAATAAAATAAATAGCACATACACAGCCCCCCTCTCACACACACACACACACACACACACGTGCGCACACACACACAACATACATTCTCTCTGATTAGATTAATAATTAAAATAGCACCTGGAACTCTGCAAATTAAGAGAGACACCACTCATATTTAATTTTTTAATTACTGTGTGATATTCAGTTGTATTTTTTATTTATTTATTTATTTATATATTTTTGCTTTTTGGGTCACGGCAATGTGCAGGGGTTACTCCTGGCTCTGCACTCAGGAGTTACTCCTGGCAGTGCTCAGGGGACCATATGGGATGCTGGAACTCGAACCTGGGTCGGCTGCGCACAAGGCAAATGCCCTACCCGCTGTGCTATCTCTCCAGCCCCTCAGTTGTATTTTAATGGCATTCTGAGTTACTCGATAAATACCTATGTATCACTTTTATGTATTTATTTTTTTTTTATTGAATCACTATGAGATACTGTTGCAAAGCTTTCATGATTGAGTTTCAGTTGTATAGTGATCAAAGTCACATCCCTCCACCAGTGTACGTTTTCCCCAGAATCCCTAACCCCCACCCATTCACCCCACCTTACCTCCTGCCTCTATGGCAGGCATTTTCCTTTTTACTTTCTCTCTCCTTTCGGGCGTCACGGTTTGCAATGCAGATACAGTACATTCTGTTTGGTTCGTTGTCTACTTTCAGCACACTTTTCCCATCCCTAGAGATCCCTCCAACCATCATAACTTAGTGGTCCTTTCTCCATCCCAACTGCCTTCTCCCCCAGCACTTGAGGCTGGCTTCCAACTGTGGAGCAGTCCTCCTAGCTCTTGTCTCTACCACTTTCAACCTTTTTAATACTGTGAGAGAGTGCCTCCTTCACTCCCTTCTTTGTCTTGTTCTATTCTCTTAGGGAATGCAGTTCAACGTTGAGGTTTTTTTGTTTTGTTTTGTTTTGTTTTTTTACAACTTCTAGGTAGTCAGATGAATAGGCTCACTTAAATAAAGATGACAAATTGTTGCAAAGAAGGAAGCTTCACCCAGACCACTGAGTCTTCATATGAAAGGCAAACAATTTCACAGATGAAAGGTTTCTGCTACAAAATTTATGTACACAAGTATGGAAGTTCAAATTAGAGTTTCTGTTTTGGCTATTGCTTTTGTTTTGTTCTGAGGCTACTTCCAGCTCTTTTTAGGGCTTATTCCTGACTCTTCATTCAGGGATCACTCCTGGTAGTGCTGGGGAAGGCACGAGAATACTGGGAATCGAGTCCAGGTCAACCACGTGCAAGGCATTCTGCTGACCTCCCTCTCCAGCCCCAGGAGCTTCTTAACGAATGTGAAGTTACCTTTCCTATCCAGGGGATTTAGATCTTTTCAATCTTATTTTATAATCGATATTATGGGGGCTGGAGTGATAGCACAGCAGGTAGGGCGTTTGCCTTGCACGCGTCCGACACGAATTCAATTCCCAGCATCCCATATGGTCCCCTGGAAACCGCCAGGGGTAATTCCTAAGTGCATGAGCCAGGAGTAACCCCTGAGCATCGCTGGGTGTGACCCAAAAAGCAAATAAATAAATAAATAATCAACATTATGAAAGATATATTAAAATATCAGTATTTTGTGTGATAATTAAACATCACTCAGCAGACACCACCAGAGTTAAGAGCTTGACTCAAACTTGCTTTTAATTCCATTTGTGTTCTAGCTTGATCCCATCACCCTGCTTTCTCTGAACAAATTATTCTGATCTTGACTATATTTCAAAATTCACTTAATGTTTACGTATTCTTTGAGTAGGATGTGATCAGATTTTTTTATCCTTTTTTTTTATATTGGCCACTCCTGTCAGTGCTCAGGGCTTCCTCCTGGCTTTGGGGACCGTATCTGGTGCTTGGGGTCAAACCAGGGTCACTGGTTGTGAGGCATCTTTCCAGCCCCAGTTATCCGTTCTTTAAAGCATCCGGTGGTTGAGTTGACACAAAGACAAAATATAATATTTAAAATATTGTGTACCAGTTCCCAAATGGACAAAAATTTTGAAGTTGCGCCTTCCCCACATTCTTTTTTTTTTTAAAAAAAATTGAATCAATGTGGGAAAAGTTACAAAGCTTTCAGGTTTAAGTCTCGGTCATGCAATGATCAAACACCTCTCCCTTCACCAGTACTTATTTTTCACCACCAAGAACCCCAATATACCCCCTCCCTCCCCTCCCAATGCCTGTGAGGCAGATGAATTCTATTTAACACTCTATCTACTTTGATTACATTCATTATTTTGACAAAAGATGCACCGTTATTGTTTAGAGTTTACACACAACAATCAGAACTCCTGAATAGGCATTGTGAAATAATTTGTTTTCTACAGCTGGTTATGAGAACCATATGATGTTGTGCGGCCTCAATAGCAGCCGCGCGATTTTGGATTTCTGATATTTTACTTATTAAGCCTGGAGGTATTTCTGCCAAGAGCCAGATAATTACGAGATTGGTTTCTGTGGCTCTGGAGCCATGGTCGTGCCAGAGAGCTGCTCATGGGGGGTAACTCATGACCTCAGTAGGGCGTGAAGGAGGAGCCAGGAATGCCCCCCTTCCCATGAGGTTGCAATTGCCCCATCCCATCACCGCCCGCTCATACCTGGCTTTACCAAAAGCTCTGAGGAGGTCGCCATCTTGCTGCCCAGGGGGCTTCCCCACATTCTTGCTTCTCTTCTCCAATGTTTTTCATTGCCCATCCTATTCACCAATCTAAGAAAATTATGTTCATTTCTGTTCACTAAAACATCTTTTAGAATTTCAGGTTTTAATTTATCATTCTCATAGAAAACTTTGGAAAATGAACTTCTGTGATTTATTGCTTTTAAATTTTTGTTAAAAATTTTGTTTCTCTGAATTTTATGCCTTCTTCGATTTCTCTCTTGCCATTGTTTCCTTTCTACTCTGATGATGTCTCACCTTCAACTCTTCATTGGCCAACTCACTCTGCTTCCTACTCAATACTCAAAGTTTCAATCCCTGCCCCTCATTTTAATGGGCAAATGGCTGTTACTCTCAAAATCATAATCATTAACCACTCACTGAAGTTTCAAACTCCTAATTCTAATTTCCCACCAAATACCTCCATTTTTCACAGTAGACACTTAAATTTAGCCCTCCTTCTGGCTTTGCCTGAAAAACTATACACCTTAAATATCAAAGACTTATGAAGAAATTTCTGAGGATTTAATTAAGTTATAAGTCAAATTATGG